AGTAGCTTTAAAGCTTCCCTCTCTCGGAGAGAGGGGGAGCTTGAAAGCTACCGGGTGGGAGGTACTACTGGGGGAGAAAGTCTCTCCCCAGCATTACCTCCAACCCGGTGACGACGATGACGCAGTGAGTACCCAGATGAGGGAATATATATACATTCCTTGACTGACAACTCTCCTCCACCCGCTGAGACGACGGCAGAAGAACAGCGGACTCGCGTGGGACGTAGGACTCGATGGAAAATAGTCGTTTCCCGAAATCAGCGAGCCTGGCGAACCGCCAGTGGCGATACGCTCATCTCCGAGAAGGACCGACGATTCCAGCACGAAACCATAGTGAAAACTGAGGAGAATCTTAGGTTGCCCTTCGCAAGATACAAAACAGGTTCAACTGCTGAGTGAAAAGATAATACTACACTGCAATGGTGATTATTGCAGGGCTTCCATCACGCGCCCAGAAAATCAGCACCGAACTGCTCCGCATCTCGTCGACTCTCCCTCTTCCGTTCAACCACATCAAGCACCATTATAACGAATCCCAACACACCCAGAGCACCCGCAGCCATCGCTATAATCATGGGCAAATACCGCGACGGAGCTATAGCGAGTTCCACCGTCCACTTATGCGGATCGTCCAACGGGTAGGGGTTAGCAACGACAAACGTATTCGGCACGAGGGAGACCCATGAAGACTGTTGGCCAGCATAACCCAGCGCGAGACGAGGGATGTAGTTATTGGTGTCGCCCAGGCCAACATAAGCATAAGGAAGCCCAAGGCTCCTCCTAAGCCCCACCGCATTAGGACTGGCCGTCCGAACGGACTCCTCCCCAGAAAGGGAAAGTACCGTAATCTTAAATGTGGCACCGGGCGTAGACACGCCATAGCAGCCCTTGTCACAAGCACCATTCCTTGACAGAGCTTTGAGGTAGTACTGATGAGAAACCTCATCAGTGATGCTCTTCCCACTACTTCCACTCTGTGGCGCCTTAGGAGTGTATACGTGGCCGTTACCGTACTCGTCAATTATCATCACCACCAATCCTGTCGCACCTCCTCCCGTCTTGTCATCCTCTTTACTGTGATAGTCATCAGCTCGTGTCTGTCGAATATCAACTAGCGCTAGTGATCCTGCCTGCCCACCGTCGCTGCAGTCGAGAATAGTCTCTGGTGGGAGGCCTTCGTGACTCGGTCGAAGGTTCCACAACAAACATGCCCCCGTAGTGGTCCCAACCAGCAGATCCGGCAAACCGTTCGCATCAACGTCCCCTACTATAACCGGTGAATAGGCGTCGCCCGACTGCATATTAGCGACTTGCCCAAGACGGTATATGATCGGCTCAGACGGGTCTGTTCCGTTGAGGACGTACCCGCCCAATTTGAAGTTCGGGTCGGGCGTGCACAGCCAAGCGTTCGAACGACAATTATGTTGCCCACTAGTCTTACATAAAGGCATTTGTGTGTTCTCATAGAGGTGTATAGTCCCATCGCTTTGAACCAAAAGGGCGTCGTTAGTCCCAGTAGCTGTGAAGTCAGCGAACGTAACATAATCTGTCGCTTGAGTAAGCGGCACTCGCCTTGGGAGCTTATGATAAAAGCGATCTTCTGCTTTCCACAACCAGATTTCCAATGCTCGCGAGCCGTCCTCAGTAACCACATCGAAGACTATATCATTCTGGCAGTCTCCGTCAAGGTCAACCCACGCGGAGGAATGGTGCTTAGATAGTGAAGGAAGTCCAGGGAGATATGCTTCCACGAACGTACCGTTTCCGAACCACACGTCACCGTTTTCACCGAGTAATTCGAAACTACCGTCACCGTCGATGTCCAAGATGATGGGTTCCCTTATGATGGGCTGAGTGGACATCCACTTGAGATGAAGATCAAAATTGTCGTCGCCTTCCAGGGCCAAAATTGTGAATTTCGGTGCCCTTCCTCCGTCAGTCATAAGCACATAGGCGTCCATTTTACCATCGAAATTCCAATCCAGCGGAAGGACCGTGTAAACGCTCAAACCGGTGATGTTGTGAGACTCTGTCGCTAGATCGATAGTCCGGAAAATTTCGAAAGAGGCGTCCGGTTTACGTACCCAAAAGTGAATTTTAAGACGATCCACAAAGACGAGATCAGTGAGTTTATCACCGTTGATATCCACGAAAGCAGCGAGGTCACCAGGGACGTTCTCCAACTTGAGATCGACGCCGCCTTGGCCGTATAGAGGCCAGTGAGGGGGAGAGGCGAGAGCTGTTTGAAGTAGGAGTAGGATAGGGATGAGCATCATGGCATAATCTGATGAAAAAACTGCAAAATAGAGGGGGGGGACTCTGGCAGACAACAGGTCGCTAAGCTCAAATGTCTATCACCGACCTACTGGGTTAACCCTAGTACTGAATAGAGCTATCATGGACGATTTTACACGAGGAACATCGTTGGAATAGGGAACCGTAGATATAACAATCGAACGAAGAAGGGTCCACTCCTGTCAGCCTGCCACTCTAATACGGGATGTTTCCGACTGAACTTCGAAGAGCATGACTGGATAGGTGAACCTCTCAGATGATAGTCTTCGAGAAGGCAAAATGACCCAGCTGTGAATAGAACCCACAGTCTTAATCATGTGAGAACAGCAGTCTACCACTCTACCACTAATTCTCAATAAGAACTGAATGGAAGCATCAATAAGAATTTCTTATTGATGCTTCCATTTTGCGAGACCGTGCGCCGCTTGGAGCTTCTGGTAAAAACTCGTGTCTCGCAAGGGAGTAGCAGCAGGCGAGTTATGATGATGCACATCCTTCACCTACTCGCCGAGTAGTTCCTCCTTATAGAGTGTTACTACGAGGTCGACGAGGATAATCAATCTTGGACACGACAATTTTGTTGTTTTGTCACGCGCCACAAAATTATCCGATGAACTTGCCGCTCGAGTTGCGAGTTTTTTAACCCCATTCCACGTGTTTCGTTTCGTTCTTATCGAGGGTAGTTTCACTAGAGCCATAGAGTGAGCTCGCTGAACCTGTACAGTGTTGGGGGAATA